GATTGAGAGGTGTAAATACTGGCAACTTTGCTGGTATATGCTGGGCTCAGTTTCTTCTGCTGTAAACTGTCAATGTCAACCTATATCAGGAGAATATGAGCCCAGCAATTCAAAACTTATATTTCATCTGGTGCACAGCTAAAAAAAAAAGCAAAACAAAACAAGCGCTCTAGATCTTGTTTCTTTACTCACCACTGCAAAAGTCAGGCCCAGTTTGGCCTGTTTATCTGTTAAAAATATATTTTTGGACTTCACAGGTATTTTGATGCAAATGCAGTATACCTTCTGTAAATTTATTCAGTGTTTCACCTGGGAGTTTCATGTAGTATTGCATGTGAGGTGATGGGCACACTGTGAAGCTGGAGCAATGGGGAATGAGCTGTGGCCACACTTGAGTGTCTCCTTATTGCTCATTTGCTTGGACCTGGGATGACTCCAAGTGGATCTGGCTGCATGTCCCTGTACAAAGCTGCAGTATGTAATAGATGTCTCCAGAGTGAGTGGAAGCAGCCAACCTGCTTTTGCATCCTTGCTGACCCTAGAGGTGGAACAGATGCAGTTTGCTGTGTTGGGCAACGCATGAGCCACACTGCATTTGAACTGATTTGAAGTGTCTGCACCCCTGATGTTCTAATTCACAGCCTGGGTAAATTGTTCACAGGTGATCAGGAGTTACATGTGAGTTACTACAATAGCTTGTTTAAGTACTCGCATTGCTCACATTTACTCACATAATCAATTTTATGTAAATGATGTATTGTAACTTGAGTCTGAATGGAGAAAACATTCTTGAAATTATATGAAACCCCAAGTTTCTTTGAATCTTTTTAAGTGACCAGGGCAGGAAGAATGTCTGTCTTGAAAAAATGATTTCATGGTTCCAGTATGACTCAAGATTCCTTACAGAAGAAACACCCTACTTCAGTGTTCCTGATGTCAGCAGAAGTGGTATGGTGTGAGCAATTAATGGAATGGGTAACACTATGCTGGTGGGTATTCCACACATTGCATCTTGCTGAAAGCTCCATATGGTTGTGAAGCATCCTTGTAAAAATCTAATGGTAAGCTGTGTCTGGCTAGAAGGGGGCTCTGCAGAATTTAAAAGGTCATTCAAGAGGAAAAGTCTTTAAAACAAACAAACAAAACTATCCCCAAACCTTTGCTGCTGAGCATAGAAACCCTGGAGAGTCTCTGTTGTTACACAGGATTGTAGCTGAGATACAGTGCTGTGAAGCTTCAGGTCCGTATTCTTTACTCTGTTTTGTCATATGGAGTTTGGAGAAATGGCCATATGCTGTAGATACAAGAGTGAAAAACAGGGCTTTGAAAATGTTGTGGTTTAACCCCAGCTGGCAACCAAGCACCATGCAGCTGCTCACTTGCCTCCGTCACAGTGGGATGGGGAAGAGAATCAGAAGGGTAAAAGTGAGAAAACTCATGGGTTGAGATAAAGACAGTTTAATAGGTAAAGCAAAAGCTACGCACACAAGGAGAGCAAAACAAGGAGTTCATTCACTACTTCCCGCTGGCAGGCCATCTCCAGGAAATCAGGGCTCCATCAGACATAACAGTTACTTGGGAAGACAAACACCACCAATCCCAACGTCCCCCCTATCCTCCTTCTTCCCCCAGCTTTACATGCTGAGCATGACATCAGATGGTCTGGAATATCCCTTTGGTCAGTTGGGGTCAGCTGTCCCAGCTGGGTCCCCTCCCAACTTCTTGTGCCCCCCCAGCCTGCTCGCTGGTGGGGTGGGGTGAGAAGCAGAAAGGGCTTTGACTCTGTGTAAGCACTGCTCAGCAGTAACTAAAGCATCTCTGCATTATCAACACTGTTTCCAGCACAAATCCAAAACATAGACTCATACTAGCTACTATGAAGAAAATTAACTCTATCCCAGCCAAAACCAGCAGAGAAAAGTAGGTGCAGCTTCAACTGGTGGGAACATGTAGGATCATCTTCTCACAGAATTAAGGAAATAGAGTCTTTTGAAAATGAGATGTTTAAAATGCTCCTGTTTGCTACTTACTTTTGGAATTTAACCATGTTGCTCTTGTTTTCAAGCTTGTCTTTGCAATCAAGAGTGTTATCACTGACATTGCAGAGGCTTGGACTTTTAAAAGATAGTTGAAAAACTTGGGAAGAAACTGAAGTGGGATCCCATAATGATAGGTGCTGATGGAGACAGTCTTTCTTACTACTGTTCAAATCTGTTCAGGTCTTGGAAAAAAAGGTCAAAATACAGCAATATGGCAGTAATTTGACTGCATTTAAACTCCTGTAGCTGCTACTGCAAGTGGGTCTGTATTAAAGGAATGACAACTGGAGGGGGAGTATCAAGGCAAGAAAACACGTCTTCACTCTTCCCAAATCTGAATGCATCTTCCCTTTTTACATGTGGCAGAGGTGCTACAATAAAGGGGAAGTTGTTGTAAAAAAAAGAAAACTCAAGGTAAGCCACTTTCTTCTCAGTTTGGCAGGAAATAAAAATCATTAGTCACCAGGCTGGTGCTAACTCCATGGCTTGTGTGACTGTTAACTAGTCTAGTGGAGAATTTACGCAAGGAAGAGGATAGGGATATGATTTTCTTTTTCCTGGCATTTTGTCTCATCATGTGGATCATCTTAAATATTGATATCCTCAGCAGTTAATATACTTTAATATTTAATATGGAAAATACTGTAATTCCAGGAGTGACACCATACAAGTGGAGTTCCACTGATCTGTAAGCAAGGTGATGACCACAACCCTAAATTTGCCTGTTCTAGAGGAGTACTTTTTTTTCAGCTCTTCCTTTTGATTTCTGTCTTAGAGCAACTCAAAGAAGTTAATCTTTGTTTTTGCATCTTCTACAATTTTTCTTTTGGTTGGCAGAATTATAAAGGAGTGGGGAGAGGATAATTTCAATTCTGCTTTAGCACAGATGCCCTAAGTTATATATTTATTATTTATTTTTTTCCTCTAAAGAACCCTGTCACATTACAGAAAGTACTGGCCTGTTTTGGGAACTGTGACATGCGAATTCATGTACTAAGGTTATCTAAAGAGAAGATAATCTTATCCTCAGGACAGAGGCAGTTCCTCAAAAGGCAGTAGAGTTCAGTAGGAAAGTGAGTATTTTTTTTTCGAGCTGGAGCTTTCTTTTCTTTTTCTCATGTGTTACAAGTTTTTGGCTCCTTCTGAAAAAATTCTACTGAAGACTTTCTCTTGAACTTGTGTTACCTTCTCTTTTGCCTTTTTGTCACTCACCCTGCTGCTATGCCTCTCTCTCTCTCTTCTATTAGAATTGATAGTAATAGAAAAACTGTGTTTGTCTAGACTGGGAGTGCAGAGATAACTGACGTGGTGGTGTTTGAGTTAACCCTGGAGATAAAAGTTCCCTTCAGAGTCAGGCGAAGCACCGCAAAGACAGATTTTATTAGATTAGGCACACCACCAGGCAGTATTACTCTTTGGTATGAGCCGTTCAGTCAACACTGTTGTTAATACTGTGCAGAATGTAATTGCTGGAGAGGGTCAAAGGCAACGTCGAAAACCTCTGCATCACTCAGTTGCGGGATGCGGATATACTGCTCACGTTTGCATCTGTTGGCAGCTGCATTTATATGTGGACTGAGCCTTGTCTTTTTGTGTGTGTGCTGTCATAGAGATGTAGATTTGTTGGTAGCCTCTTCATAGTAAGTGAAACATGCAGGTAATTTGTTAGTTCAGCTCTTAAAGCCATTATGTATATGATACATTGGCTTGTTATGTGGATATTGGGAACTTCAGAAAAACTGTTGTGTTTTTTAAATGTATATACATTGCATAGTTGACTGTTAGCAATTAAACTCTGCTTTTAACCAGCATAACTATTTAATGCCTTTTATTATCTCTCTTCTTTTCTCTTGCTCTTGGCAATAATCAAAGACCTGACAAATTATGTCTCTGCTGATGATGCATCTGCTTTTTATTTTTTTCTCATCTGCTTGCTTTGCCACCGAGTTTACTGGTAGATATGAATCTGACTGCAGCACAGAATCATTAGCTGTCTGAATTTTCAGTACAAGGAGTTTTTGACTCAGCTTATTATATCACTATTTTTGTGCAGTACAGTTTCTTCCAATGGCTATATAAGGATAGTGTGTACTTAAATGCTGTTTTACTTGCTTTGATACAGAATTTCTTTTTTTCCTTTCTTTTTCTCTAAAGCATTATTACTGTTGGTAGCAGGATTTCCAAAAATAATAATTTAAAAAAATCCCACAAAATTCTCGACAATTCTTTCCCATTTGAAACATATATAATGCACGTATTTACAAATAGTTTTGAATATGAATATGTAAGAATATTTTCTGCCAGTGGACTGCAAAAATTGTTGTAATTTCTTAGCAGGGGGATCAGTTTCACTGACACCTCCATGTAATGATTCTCTTGCAGGAACATGTACATCTGGCAGTAGAATGAGATCCTATTAAGTATTTGCAAATAATGCAGCAAATTTTCCTGTATTGTCTTAACTGAGGTTTCTTTATATTGTACTGAAAGTATTGTAATTATAGTTATAAGAAATAAAGAGCTAGGCTGTGATCTCCTGTGGTAAGTATAAAGGGAATAAAAAAGTTGTTCCCTCACAGCATGCCAGTCCTTTGTAGCAAATGGGGTAGGGGTTATTTGGAAAGAAAAAGACACCTTATACACATCATAATACTGGGTTTAAATACATTATGTATGGGAGTGCTTAGGGACTGACTGCAAAGTTACATAGGTGACCTTAATTTGGGAACTGCATATCTTTTGAGGGATTGACTTTTTTGCATTAATAGAATTCTTTTTGATTTTTTTTTCCCAAGTGTGAAACAATTCTAGATAAAACTCACCATTTAATTCTGTCATGTTAAAGGAACTGATACCTTTAATTTGTAATCCTGTAGGGTACTAATTCTTATTATTGCAATTTAAAAAAATAAAGTATTTCCTCTTTCCCCTCTTCTATTATTTTTATGTATATATTTTCAGATATGATTCTGGACCAGCAGGTGGGTTCTGGGCAGCTCAGTGAGGATGTTCGTCACAGAGTGCATGAGGCATTACTGAAACAGCATCACCATCAGAACCAGAAGAAGCTGAGCAACAGGATCCCAATTGTGAGATCCTTTGCTGATATTGGAAAGAAGCAGTCTGAGCCCCATTCCATGGATAAAAATGGTAATGCGTTGCTTTATTTTGCATTTTGAGTTTTCAATAACATCTGCCTGTTCAGTACTGCATATGCTTTGTACCCCACAGCTTGAACTCAGTGTGATTCTGCTCTGAAAAGCTACTGTGTAAAAGTGGTACCTTTTACATGAGAGTGGTTTCTCTTATGCATTCAGTAACACACCTGTTTAAATTTGAAATTCAGGTATGCTGCACAATTCAGGGCTGTGCAGAGCTATTCAAGGGAACTAGCTCAGGTGTTGGAAGCAGGCTAGCTGTGTTAGCGTGCCATTCTGTCCTGGGTAATTGCCATGGCACATTATCCCTGGTGCAGCACAGCGCGAGAACACTTGTCCTTTAGGCACTCTGTGCGATCCTTTGGACGGAGCTTGAACGTCTTCGCACAGTGTTGCTCTGAACTGCGGACATGCTCCATTAGTGCCAGAAATGTGATACGTCTATTTTTGACTTCTGTTGACTACCCAGGGCTTATTTAGTTCAAATGTCATGGATTGTTGGAATAGTTTCTAGGTCTATGACAGTGTATGCATTAGCTATTGTTCAGCTGGTGCTTCAGATTTCATAGTTGAGTTTGAGGGGTTGGAAAATGAGAAAAACATTTTCAAGATGACACTGTTGGAGAGATACTGCAAGAACTGTACCTTGTTTTTTCAGAAAATCACTTTTTGGAAAATCATGTTCATGAAAATGAGAGAGCACGTTTGCAGAGCGGTTCTACAGTAAAATATTGGCTTAACTTTTTTCTTTTTTGCTTTTACAGAAGCCTTTGTAAGTTGTGCTGTTGTTATAGGTTAATCATAATGAAAGATATTTCTTGTTGCCCCTTCCTTATTTACATAAACACAGGCCTGTGTTATGAAACTTGCAGCCAAATTTTGCAAATATTTACAATTAATTCACTAGAATTATACATTGCAGAGTTACTGAGCCTCTGTATCCCATATCATCACGATACCCACAACGTTTTTGTCCTAACACCATTGGACTATAGTGGCTCTTATTCCAGAAATCACCTTAGGTTTAGTGAAATCTTAGTCCCTTCTGCTGTCTCTCTGGTTCAGGGCCCTACCGAGCTCCCCTGGGAAGCTCCCTGAGAGGTGGGGAGTGAAGAAACAGCCATAGCACAGGGAAGGCGCAGGGTGCAAGAGGCACGTGCGTGCTGGGAGGCATAGAGCAGAGGGGGAAAGAGTAGTAGAGCAGCTGATCTGGAAAGATGGGGCTGTTGGTATAAAGATTAACTTTGGTTTCAAAGAAGGACCTTTTGTTTCACTGTTTGCTGTATAGTTTTAATAGGTAGTTCTAAATCTAGCCACTTCACTGGGTAAGACTCTCAGACCTACAAGGCAACATATGATTTCATCTGAAAAGGATATTAAATAGAAACATATTAATTATGCCAAAATATCATTTTAAGAGTAAGGAAAAATAATATTTATTAAGATGTGTGTGATTATGCATATGGATGCACAAGAGTAGAAGTAAGTAGGATGATTGTCCATCCTTTTTAAGGCAACGTTCCTGTTGATTTGTGCAACTCTTGCTGATGACTTCAAACAAATATTAAGGATACACTTAAGAAAGTTAATGCTATAATGTTTCTATTCCTCAGTTTCCACAGGACGCAAGATGGCAGCTTGCATTCTGTAAGCTTTTTGCTCTAGATCTTACGTAACAAATAAGCAGTAGGTGTCCTTAAAAAGACCCCTCAGGGCAAGCTGTGAAAGTGTCATAAGCTCAATTTCAGTAACTTTCTGTGTCTGTTAGTAGAACTGATGCAGTAATTCACTCCAGAAATGTCTCACTTTTGCCTAAGTTTCTCTATCTAATTCCCCCCCCCAAATAGATTCTGATCAGCACAGCATCTAAGTCCATATTAAACACACTAATTTTATATACTCAGTGGTTAAGTGATTCTGTAAGTAGGGAGACACATTCTTACAGGTTTTCATTTGTCTGTGCTTATTTTGCAAGATGAAAAACTACTGAATTCCAGTTCACATGCGTATGTAGACATGCCTTGGAGCACTCTAAACCCTGGTTAAAAAAACCACTTAGTCACTTTCACTATGTTAATTTAAATTAAGTTAAATGCACCATAAACAATACAAATCTAAATAATTTCAGGACCATTTATACAAAAGTAAATCAGCTTTTTATCTAAATTACAGTGAAGAGTTCCAAACTCAATCTTTTTGGACACAGATGTCTTTTAATCAGTTTGAAGCATTGCTCTTCTCCTTGCATCCTTTAAGTGCTAATGCACATTTGGCAGTCTCCTGCATTGACCTCTTCAAATAGATGATGGCCCTGTGATAAAGCAAAGAGGTATTCGTTTATTCTAAGTTTCTCTCTTACCATCCATTACCCTGTTACATTAAAAAGTCTGAATCTTATTTTATTGCCTGAACTGTACTAAAATTACTATTAGCTTTAGAAGAGGAAAAATTAGTCTGAAGTTTTTGGTTTTAAAAGGAATCACAATTTTTTCCCTTTTCAAGACAACAGCAAATAAGCAGCTCATGGGCTTGAGTGGCAACTATGGCATCAATACTCCAGGATTAAAGGAATGGGGAAAGAGATGATTCTGGAGAGCTGCCTAATTTCAGGCACACTGACTGCTACCTCTTCTGGCATACTCTTAGTTATTTCTCTACCCTGGGTAAATTGGCATAGTACATGGTGTGTAAATTATGCAGGAATCTACACTGAAATGCTCAGCTTTCAGGAACTCTGCTGTCCTTAGAAGCTTGACCAGGTGTAGCAGTGAGGTTTCTGATCATTTTCTTCTGCCGTTGCCTTATGACCCAAATGCTAGGGTTCAGCTACAGTGTTATGCTCAGTGCAGCTATATATTTCTTTTTCAATTGCCATGGAGCGTCTGTACAAGCTTCTCATAACAATACAAAAATGAGTTGTTAAAAAATAACTGGATCAGGTTAGAAAGAAAAATCAGCTGAATATGTGTAAAAGAAAGTAAAATTAAGGGATGTAAATACCTTATATTATTGTCAAGAATGTGCTGCGAGACACATCTTTATTTCCCGAGGACAAACTAGTAAAATGCAATCAAGACATCATTTTAGTCTGCTTATTCTCATTTGTGCACAAACATTGTGTAGAATGTATAAACATAAAATGTTCTGTATATTGCCAACAGTAGCAATATTGTTCTCTCTTTTTAATACAAAAAAACGCATTAAAATAGTAAAATATTTTGTTATCGCTTTTACTTTCTGGATGAGAAGCTTAATTCCTAGAAAACTGCAGGGAGAAAACCAGATCATGTCAGGTACTACTGATGAGCTTACAGCTCAGTTCACCCCTATCAGAGATCAGTTTTCAGAAACCGCAAGTGCCAGAGCTTTAGAAGGGCCACTTATTTGCCCCTGTTGAAATGAGGCAGGGGAACTTGGACACTTCTTCTGCACAAAAGGAAATTCTTAGTTTGTTAAATTTGGTTTTAGTGTAGATAGTTTAACTGATAACAATTCTCAGCAGTCTGTAGTTTAAAGTAAAATAGGTGGTTCAGAGCCGTAAGTCCTTGCCATCTGGGTTGTGTGGTACAGCTGAGGTTGCAAACCCCCTTCTTTGTCCAAGTTCTTGACTATGCTAGCTTATTAATGTATCAATTTCCAGATATTCAGGAGCAAAGTCTGAAAATGAAGACAAAAACTTAAATTCAATACATGGCTGTGCTGCTGACAGACCACTGTGATATCTTTGCTGGAAGATAGTTGTACATATGTTCTCCCTCCATTTTTTCTTTGTTTAAGAGTCCGTCAGACCATCTAATTAATTTGCTTTGTATTTAGTAGTATTATCTTTTGTTTACAATGGCTTTTCTTCACATCCTCTGCAGGGCTAAGATGTCAGGGTGCTATGGATTTACCATGCATTTTTTATGCTGCCATGCTGTGTTTAACTTTCACTTTTCATTAAGCATCAAAACTGTGAGAATTAAAAGCCTGCTTTTGATGTTCCAATAAAAACCGACAGTCAAATTTGGCATAAGAGCAGGAAAAATGATTTTTTTTTTTAAAATCTAATTTGACACCAAATACCCAAAGTAGAGGGCAGCAAGTAATTATAGTATAAATACTGTAAAAGGCAGGTAAAAATATGAATCTTTGTCATTAGTAAATCATCTTTAGAAAGTTTGGTTTGTAAAGCAATTTAACTTATTTTTATTGAGATCAATAGGTTTTTCACTCTGACACCTGAGAGCTGTGCCTGTAAATTCCTATGACATGGTCTAAAAAGCTAATGACAGTTGCAAATATATAATACCTTTCTATTGTTAGAGGAATGCTGAAATAATTACATAAGCCTCTCCCCTTTTATAAAGGGTTCTGCAATTCAGAATTTAAACATGTGTGGCATGGAAAAGTAGCTGTTCTGTTGAAAATGTAGTTCAGAAAAGAAGTTTTCATCATGTAAACATTTTAAGTGTTTTCGACTGGCTGTTTCACTTTTAATCTAGGCTTCAGAGTATGAGCATGTGCACGTGTGTGTATATATATATATAGGTAATGAGATCTAATAGGCCTTTTCCTGATAAAAGTTGAAGAGGAAGGAAGTAGGGGAGCATGGCTGGTTGAGTGACTTGTAAATTGTATTTCATGCACCTTCCTGAAGTGTTCTTTATCCATAATAACATGATCTTGTGCCTGTTTTCTGTGCCATACGTATGCCATTTATAACCGCTTCTTCTCCCTTGATGTCAGAGCAGACATGTTTTTAGTGTAAAAATTGCGTTATGCTATACATCATGTCTGATTTTGAGAAATTCTGAAATTCCAAGGACAAGTTTATCAATATGCCAAAGAGCTTGAAGAAAAGCAATGGAATATTAAATTGGGGATCTTCAGAGTTAACAGTTCATTTTGACATGTTCTTTTTCAAGCCTTTTTCCAGTTATTTCAGTTAGTATGATGGGCTGGTTTGGACTTCTTGATTGTTTTATGCTAGTATGAGCACACATGGAGGGG